GTTGCTCACTTAACCACAGAAGAGTGCGCGGTCAGCCGGGATTGATTGGCATCGGTCAGGCCACAGGATCGCTCGCAATTAAAAACAAAGCTAGCAGTGCTTTATTGTTTCGTCAAGGGGCGTACCGGTAGGTAAGGTTTGGGCAGGTAGTTTGGATAAAGTCCAGCATTAACAAATGTTACTATTGAGAAGATAAACAACTCACTTATTTGGCCGCTCGCACGACTTGTTCGTACACGTCAGTCCGCGTGAGGGCCGTGTCGGGCCCACATCTGAGTGGGGCGTGAAGGTGACACAACTCCGCCGCCAAGGTAATGGCCACGTGGATACCCTCGTGATTATTTATACCCCCCCCCCCCCCCCACCAGTGGTTCGATGGATTGTCATGCATTGGGCGTCGCGATGTTTTGCAGAATAAAAAAAAATCCGTCCTTTTTGATAAGGACGCGGCGAGTATAGCAGCACCTCGAGTGGGGCAGCAGGAAGGCACCAGAGGGGGGGGGGGGGTCCCAAAGGCAACGTGCGAATCGCCATCTCCCACGACACAAGTGGAAACGTTTAACATTATCGGGTGCCCAACATGTGCAATGGCATGGGCCATACGTGTATGGACAATAATACATTTTTGTTAATCCGCTGCTGGATGATGACCTCCCAACTCCACGTGGGCCATGAAGGCGGGGCGTGGGTTCAAGGAGTTGACCCCGTTGTCATCCCTGCTTCTCACCAAGCGAGCAGCAGCACGGGCTGCTGAATCGACCACTTCCGCAAATGATTTAAAACAAGTTCCGCGTAGGAGAAACAAATTCCTGCGTGAGATTCTGCACCCGGTACGAATCGCATAAACGGGCGTGTAATCGTGACAAATGTTCTCTTGATCCTGCAGCAAGTTTGCAAAACACATTCGCAGGGCATCTTCGGCTTTTATCTTTTTCATTTTTTTTAGTACAAACAGGTGGCGTTTCCGCGGGACACGGACGCTCGAGCAGAGCTGGGCGGTGGACGCAAGCCGCCGCCGCTACTGCTAGCCAAGCCGTGCGAGCCCCTTTCAGAGGCGACCAACACGGCACACTGCAGCCAGCTCCCGACACGGCCCAGGAACAATACGCGCTGTATTTAATTTCAAGCGCTTTTTCAGAGCGAGGCTTAGTAACCGTAAACTCCGGCTCTTGCAGGTACAGACGGCAACCCTACACTGCAGTTCCATTTGATTTGCGACGAAAGAGGCCAAAATAAAAAAAAAAATTCTAACAGATCTGGAGACCGGAGCACCGAGTCGCTCCGGTAGCCGATGACTGGTCCGAGGGGTTATGGGTGGGGGTATGTGGGAAGGAAGGTGTGCGTTGAGTAATCTGCAGAAACCTGTCGCCGCGGATGCGATTTCAATCTGGAGAGTGGCAATGTTTATTGGAAGAGTCACGCAAACTCCCGGCATTGATGCCATCAATCTGTACCGCTCCGAGTAAGACAATCTGCAGCTGCCCGCATCGCGATGAGAGGCCCTGCTGCCGCCGATGCTGGATTGTGCAACACCGTGCGGCAAGAGAGTCGAGGGCGTCACCACCGCTCGTCGAGAATACGCACAAGGCAAGCCAGCGGCAATAGCCACGGCAATCGTGGCATCGGTTTCGTGCCCTCGTGTCCAGCACCATCCCCCCCCCCCCCCACCATGGTTGGTGGTAAAGGTCAACAGAAACGTGACCCTTTGATTTATCAGCATCTCACAGCAGAGTGAAACAACAACAAAAACACAACTGTGGTTGGGGAACCATGTGCGGCGCGTGATACAGCATCGTCAAATGTTACGTTAAAAAAAAATCACGTAACAGTCCGACTATGCAATAGTTTTTACTCTAATTGGCATGCCACATGCCGACCGACCGGCGGCACGCAGAGTAGTAAACTCTGCATTATTTATGGCCGATGGCCAATTAACTCCTAATTGCTGATAAAAAAAACCCCGCAGGTTATAAAACAATGCACCATGTGACCACATTTACAGCGTTCCCTATTTAAAGCAAATTGGAAGCATGAACAGCTTAACCTTTGTAATTAACCTAGATTCTTTCGGCACTGCGGTGGCGAGATGTTAACTCACTCGCCTGTATATTTGGAGTTTGTGTGTCTCTCCGTGGTCGCGGGGATTTTTTTTACTCCGAGTCCTCCGGTTTTTTCCCTCCACATTTATTTGGCTGCGATACATTTCCATACAATAAGCCACTTCGTTGAGCTATCACGCGTGGCCAGGTCGCTTCTGAAAAAAAGAGCTAAGAAACTCTTACCTGGTTCAAATAAAAAAATAGTTTGAGAGAACCATGTTGAAAAGCGACACCAAATAAACAGTGGCCGAAGCTGCGCATTCTGCGACCACAAACGATCCATCAACTCCTTTATTTAGAACGTGTTGGTAGCGATGGCCTACTGAGGATAAACCTGCTTTTGCATCAGATACCAGAGTCCAAAATACAGCGATGCAAAAAATAGGTGAGGTCGAATTCTGGCCCAACTCACTCACGTATGCACGCAGTGTAACATCAGAAGCCTCAGCGTTTCACAACGACCAGGAGCAATGCAGTCACCTCGTCTCCAAGCCCCTACAAGCGAGCGATTGGCAAAGCCATCACACTTTGGGTTTTGGTCTTGAGGCGGGGGTTTAAAATCCACATTCCGATGGCGGGGCCCAGTATATCCATAAAATAACCGTTGCCTTCCGGTAGTGGGGCTCACCGACCATGCACCGCCACGTACACTCGCGACATAGGACTCGGCCAAACATCCTGGTGCAGGACCCTCGTTCAAAAGAGTCTTGAGGCTCACTGTGGTGTCCTTGCACGTGAATGGCAATTTATCGACCTTGGATGGACGGCGGGCCGAATTGATCCCGCACTGCTTTCCGTTTGCGAGCAGCGTGCTCTTAAAAGCACGGTGCATCACTATCAACGCCACCACAAGGTCGGGTGAGTGCACACGCAAAGCGATCCATTTAGAGATACCCCATTGATTTCCAACGGCCCTCTTTCGCCTCGACAGGTGATTTAATATTGTGAACGTGATGGAAAGTGACAGATTGGATGGAGATTCCTGGAGGATCTACGGCTCACGCATACGTGCAAAGTGACAACGTAGCAATGCCGATTCCAGGAGACATTTGGCCGTGCGCCAACGCAAGGGAAAAATCATTTTGCAAATTGAATCGCAAATTGTCACGCAAGTTCAATTAATGTATAGAAGAAAAAGAGAGCGGAGGGCAATAATATTCGACAAGAATGTGTCGCATGCACAGCATTCCAAGATTAACATCCCTCAATCACAATTTCACGCTGTATCATCAGCCATGATCGATCCACTGCTGGATGAATACCTCTCCAAGTCACTTCCTTAAACAGATCTGCGATGTAGCAATATAGTATTGTAATGCATCCGGATGCTAGTTGGGTTATCGAACATAAAATGATCATACGTTATATACGGATCACCCACGTACTATATTTTGTTGCTTATAAACTGCGAGGGGTGGGGGGGGGTTAACGTTCGCGTGTGCCGCCAACGCGTGGCACCGCGAGGATTCCGCCGATGCGGAATCCTCTTGCCTGGACGCGTTTAGCTCGCGTCCAGGCAGCTCGCGTCCAGGCAAGAGGATTTTGTGGCCGTGGATTTTGTGGCCGCGTTGACGGAACGGACTCCCGAGTTCACGGCGCCGGGGTAAGAGCAAAGTTACCGACGTCGAGAAGGAGGATGGCGGGCAACCCTTTCTGCGGTGCGATTATAAGGGACCACTGTTAGGTCGGACAAACGCGTACTGCAAACCAACGTAGGTTGGGTCGGAGATGCACCGAAGATATAAAACACATATATAAATCATGATTTAAAACTTTCGTGACTGCAGGAATACATATTCTTTGGTTATTTCAGTGAAGTCACGTAGATAGAAAATAATAATAAAAAAATAAAAAATGTTAATAACACAAGCGATCGCCATCAGGCGTCGGGAGTTTTTGGTTTTTATAAAATGTTAAAAGTGTATTATTTTATTATTTTCTATCTACGCGACTTTACCGAAAAAAACAAAGAATATATATGAATCACTGCAGGATCCCCCCCATACCACCACCACCATCCAAAACAGATACGTTGCTTCCACAGATTCGTCTCGGTTAAAGGGGGGGAAAGGCAATTGACTGGTAATTGTAGAAAATAAACGAAAACTGTAAGATTAAGTAACTTTACAAAGTGAACTTGTGGGGTGTCATTGTGTTGCCGAGACGTAAATAACATCTTGGCATTTAGACTCCTTACCCTTCTTTTTTTTTAAAACAACACACGCGCATGATTTGCAGTAGATTGATTACTTAGACATTAACTTCAGCTTTAAGCAACGAAAACAACGACTCATCATCATCAACGACGACGACAACAACATTGTCACCACCACCAATCGCCAACAAACATTCTCTCCGAACATCCCGGAGGAAGGGAGAGAGGCACGTGAAACTGGGATCGCGCACCCACGAACCACCTCGCACACTTCCAACAAGAACACGAGGAGCAGCGTAAAAGATCCACAAGTAGCTCACGAACCATTCTTTCACGGCGCTCGCAGGAGAGGATGACGACGACGACGATGATGATGATGAAGCCGTCTTGGTGCCTGCTCCTAAGACGCACCCATCCCCCCCCCCTCAATGAGCCATCGGTTGCTTGCGTTCACTCTCTCTCTCTCTCCGTGGCTCAGCGCACGGATGCGACAGCGGTAGTAGCAGCAGGCGCACTCTTTCACAATGTCTCTCCTCCCCCCCCACCCTTCCTTTGCACCAACAGTCGCTTACGCACACGCCTGCCAATTTTCATCTAATTGTTACCCAAGCTTGGTGCAAGTACAAACAAGCGCATGGGGAGTGTTTTTCCTTCTCTCTCTCTCTCTCTCAGGGTGCGGAGGCGGAGAGGTAGGGGAGGAGGGGGGGATCAAGAGGTGGAGCTTGGGGGAGGGAGTTCCAAGCCACCTGTGCTGCTGCTTGCTGCTCCCATCGCGCCTCACCGACCCGTTCGTTGGCTCGTCTTTCCAGTTCGTCGTGTGAACTTCACGTTGGCGATATTCGCGCAGTTGTCACGTTGATAAGAAAAAAAAACGACGCAATAATCAATCGCATACTCCTTTGAGCGCTGAGTGGGGCTCGGCTTAATTGGTTGCGTTAAACAATTCGCGGGGATTCCACATTCCTCTGGCAGGGGCCTGATTATCCGCAAAATGACAATTGTTGAATTCCTACAAAGAGGAACGATGATGGCCCCAGGATTTGATACTTTGCTCGACGTGGTTTATTTTCTCATTCTTGTTGCTCCAATGCCCCCTGTTACCGTTCCGGTTCCGCTGTAAATGTGCACTGATGCATACTTTATTGTAGGGCGATATTGGCACGCAAAAAAAAGATCCATTGACTCACGAATTTCCAACTTTGAGCAGAGCGCTTTGCAACAGCACCATCGCCAGGTGTGACCAACGCATCCTCAACAATTTAATCATTTTCACAACACCGTGCGTGCATTACACAACGCCAATTGCATCATCCCCACACTCGACTCTCCTCTCTCTTTCTCAAGTGGGTAAAAGCACATGATCCACGTCCAACGCATAACAAACCTACCTTTGTCAAGAAGCGTTGACTTGTTATCACATCCCAGCTTCGAAAATAAAAAAAGGGGCGTGGATTGTCGCACCTCCCATCCTGCTCAACCCTGCCATCCGCCCCATATTCAGGGAGGCACCGAGACTTTGGGAGATGGAAATAGCGACGATACTGATTATATTTTATCAGTCCGAGCTGTCCATTCATTCAAGGGGAGGCCCGCCAATGACCAGTGCCCTGAACTAAGCAGTTGGACCCAGGGGAGATTCAGCAGCGTTGGAGATAAAATCCAAGGCTACGAAGAGCTGAGATCGATATGCCCTGCTAATAGAGTCTTGTTGTGTTAAAGACCACCATTGCTCTCGTACAACATGTAAACTGCTACAAATCACTTACAAGGGATGACACACACACACTCCTGCCCTACCAACGTTATGTGACTAGAACTTTGTTCAGACTTTCACAGTGCTATACGTATCAACAAGTAAAAACGCCTTCCTGCTAAAACAAGCAACGAGACAGCCACTCACTTCTGTTGGCAGCTCTGAAATATCCTAGGAAATTCCATATTCCCATGGTGGGGGCCGGTTTCTCCATAAGATGCCACTTGAACGGTAACCATCACGCCAACTGCGGTCTTCCTCTCAGCGGATTTTGGCTGGCCATCGAACAAACACGGTCACTGCATCACGTGGCGCTTTCAGACGCGCTTCTGTGGCCATCTGGAACGCTCTTCCTTCCGATATCAGGAAGCCACCAGAGCTATGCACTTTTAAATGTAGGTTGAAAACTAATTTCTTTAGAGCTACTTTTTGTGTTTAGTTTTGATGCCTTTCCCCCACACCTCCGATAATTATACAAAGCCATCATCTTCCCCTACTAGCAGACCAACAACCCAGGTCACTCTTGCAACTGAAAGTATCCCTGAGGTTTCACCTGGTTAAACAAAATAAACTTGAAAAATTACTATATATTTAAAATTCAGACGTGAGATAACGTTGTTTCCCCTGGTTTAATGTCCACATGGATCACACCTTATCACGAGGAAAAACATTTTCAACATAAAATCATATGAACCCTCCATCTGCAATTAACAAACGACATGACAATGCACCGTCCTTGTACCCCCTTTACAGTTTGATACTGAACACAAAAGTGCCCAAATCTTAGAATTCGCAAGTACCCTGCTTTGGTGCGAAGAACAGCCTCGGGTATATTATTTTCAGGCGATGGCACTTTCATATAGAGCTTGGCTGCCTTCGTAAATTTCAGCACAAAGAGGGCATCTCAAGTCCCGCTAAGTCCGAAGCCCAGACGTGTCCAGAATTGCCGCCTCGACCGAGGCACGCCGTGTGGCCCGGGCACAACAGAACAAAACCACGCTCGTGGGGCCAAGCACAAAAGATGTCTTTGTGAGCGTCCAAAGCCTACCTGGCACGAGCAAGGCACATCCTATTCCCTGGATTAATGGCCAACCTCGTCATCACGAGCCACGATCTGTACGCACCGCTGGACGAAGGCAGTGCCTTCCATCGCGAGCGTCCCATGCATCAACCCCAAATAGCTGCCGCACATGAGCTGATTTCATCACTCCATCTCCACGGTCGTCATTTTGTTGGGCGTGTTCTGTCCTTTGGCTGCCACTCCCATCGTTCGTCTCGACCACCGGTCGTCATCTCTTCTCGGGACGTGTCTCGTTAAAGCCCACTTACTTTTCACAATGTATTGTTCAGAATGAACGTAATTGTTGCAAAAAAATTGACGGCAATCCTTAATGCTTATCTTTGACAGACTTTCTTGGTAGTAGTAATCTACAATGAAGCTAACCTCTTTCAACATTTACAGTGCTCATGAGATCAATGAATTTGTCACTCATTCATGGGTATTTGGCATGTGGTAGCATGTGCAAACTTTAATTCAATCAAATTGCTGCTCTGCAAACTCCTAGCCACCTAAAAAAAACCGTGGTTGTTACTAGTTTTAAAAATGCACACGATCGTCACCTCCAGACTGCTGGATCACAGACGTGTGCTACAGTACCTCGGTATATGTGCACACAAATTATAAATCAGCCCAGGAACCATTTTACACTCATGAAATAGAATTAATATTTTGTCTCAATGTTCCTAAGAAGCACACGAGTGCCGTGATAAATTCCAAGCATTAGCGTTTCCCTGATGGCCACAGCCATCGTAAAAGCCTTCACACTCAGCTATGATGTGTGGCCTACCTGAAACAATTGTGCTGTGAAATGCGACCCTATGCTTTTAGACATTAGCTGCAGACAATATGCTTTTCTGAGAAATGCTGTGTATCTGTACGTATAAGTAACTTATTTTACACCGTACAAAGCCAACCGTGCTAATCGGAGGTGCCCGGGAAGGACAAAAAACTAAACACAAAAATCAGTTCTAAAGAAATGAGTTTTCAATTTAGATTTAAAAGTGCTCAGCTCCAGGCCATTCCTAATATCGGAAGGAAGAGCGTTCCAGACGGCCGCAGAAGTGCACCTGAAAGTGCATGATGCGGTGACCACCGTCTTTGTTTGATGGTTAGCCAAAAGCCGCTGCGAGAATGATCGCAGTTTGCGTGATGGTTCATGCTCCTTGACGAGATCAGCAAGGTATTGTGGTTCATTCATGGCAAGCGTACAGTGGGGAGAAAAACCAAATCCCCAAAAAATATTTTGGGGATAATAATAGGCTGCACCAATGAATTTTAGCTGCACCATGCAGTTTCCGTGCAATCTGCAGTCGGTTTAGAAAAAATAAACGGAGCAAGACCCGCCAACGTCACCAGATAAGTTGATCGATCTCAGCCAAGCAGACACAACTCCCCCCCCCCCCCACTCTGTTCCCAACTCCACCCCATCACTTTGTGTTGATGCGGTACCGGTCTGGGCCCGGTGCAGACGAGTCTGCGGTGGCCGGATCACACGCAGAGGCTGAAGGTGGCAAGCCGAGTCTTATCGTGCTGCGGCAGGACCTGGACGTGGCTCGGCGCAGAACCGAGCACTCAGACGAGAGCACCACCTGAGCTAAAGCCCCGAGAGCGCCAGACTGGCGCGGCCCGCCTGATCCTAACAAAGCGGGGGCAGCCCTGTAGACCCATTGTGCTCGCAGGTTTACTCGAGAAAGATCAACACCGCTAAGTGCTTCGGACTGGGCCACCACATTGGGCACGCGACATCTGCACGTGCAATCGTAATGGCGCGGCAAGGGATGTCGACGGGCATTTGTTACAGCCAGCATAGCGCCCAGTGGGGGCGGCGCTGGGCGATAACAACATGCGTCCGTCCGTCCGTCCGTCTCCCCCAGTGCCGACGCTGAGACTGATAACGACAGTGCCAAGCGCAGAACGCTGCGTCGAGACGACCTGAGTTAGGAGTTAGGTGTCAGGCCCGGCGAGATTCGGCGTGCGCATATACCTGCGTGCGCGCGTGTGCAACGCGAGAGTGTGCACGCGTGCACGAGCATGTCGGGCTTGCCCTGCTCCAGGATGAGTCGCGCGTGTTCATTGGATGCTGCCATCCGAGAAGTCTCCCCGATCCGCAAAACTCAGCAGAGGCCTCACTCACCTTCCAACGCAGCGACCGCTTGGCTTAGGGACTTTGCATTCGCTAAATTAAAAAAACAGTTTAACGAACAAAAAAAATGTGATGCTCCGTTCCGCGCGCAAACGCAGCGCGCCTAAGTGTGTTGTTGTGTTTTTGGGGTTTTATACTTTACCTTGCGGCGGCAAAAAAAAACCTACTCCTCCCTTACCAAGACCTTGGCATTTTACCAAGTCAACCGCTCATAAATGTGGGGGGAAAAAAGCCCACACGCGGCCCTTTGAAATACTGTACTGCATTTCACGTGTATAGCTGCACTTTACATGAGAACAAATCATGGCAGGTATTTATTTTCCAAAGCGGGACACTTAAATTTACTTTGCCATCACGGTCTGCTGCAGTGGGAGGTGGACGGGGTGAGTTCGTGAAAGCGTCTAGACTTCCTCCACAATTACTCACCCACAGCGATTCAAGCAACAACAGTAATTCCGTGCATTTGAACTGGGTCCCAGTCATAGAAGCGTTGTTGGCAGGGGGCAATTTGTCACCTGACTTTGCAAAAGGTCCACCGCACCTCGTGGGTAATTGTGGTCGGAGTCAGTCTAAGCCATGGCAGGAACAGCAGCAACCGGCACTGATCACCTAACTGCGTGGATTTCATTGGCGTCGTTCATTGGTCCCATTTTGACCAATGATAATGTCGGGGCAGAGTGCTGCTTGTGCACTCACAAAGATAACGATCTTCCCTTTTAGCCTGGGTAGACTACTGGGGCTAGGGGCTACTGCGCCTATTGAGGCCACCATGGCACGCGAGGAAGGGAGGGAGGGGGTAAATGTGGTCAGCACCGGACCCAGCTGTCTTTGTCTCGCCAACATTGATGTTGACCACATCACACCAGGTACTGAGTAAGGAAAATCCAGGCCAGATTGAGATATTTATTTGTTGAAGTGTGCAGGCTGAGGAATAGTACCTGGGGATCCATTGGATCTTGGTGTGAGGCTTTAACCACCACCACCGTTTCATGGCCAGGCACACACACACGTGTGTGCACGCACACATGCCATCAAGTGCACTTACTCACACAGACACGCGTTTGTGTGGGCTTCATAAGTGAATGAAGCGAATGTAAGTGCAATCGAAAGCGGGGGAAAAAATGTGAAAACATTGCGGCAATCTTGATAACCATCCGTGGAATAAATGAGAGGATCGTCCAAAAGTAATCGCACATCCGTGGACGCAGTGGGAAAAAAAAACATTGGGCATCGCACCATCGCCTTCAAATGCATTTCTCCTACAAAAGCAACACGGTTTTGAAGACACTTAACAACTAAATTATTTTTTTATTTTACCAGGTAAGACCCACCGAGATATGTAGCTCTTTTTCAGAAGCGACCTGGCCACAAAAGATATCTCAACGAAGTGGCTCATCGTATGGAAATTAATAGCAGCCAAATACTTTAAACGCGTGATGTGGGTTCTAAATGTGGAGGGAACCTCCGGAGGACGCGGTGAAAAAGTCACGCGACCACGGGCAGAACATGCAAACTTCAAATATACATGCATCACGGTCGGGATTGAACCCACGACCTCCTGCAGGTAGTTAACATCTCGCCACCGTGGATGCTGTACCCACGTTTTCCTGCAACCGCAAGCAAATCTGCCAATCTATTCGCTGCCGTTTCACCCATTCCACTGGAGGCTGGAGAGAACCGAGCGTTGTGGGAAATAAATGGCCCACGGTTTCACCTTAAACCAGGAATGGAACTCCGTTCCACCGAACGTTCGCCTCCACGCAATGGTGAGGTCACAGACGTTAAGAGATGGCAATTATACAAGTCACTGGCACAACTAACAAAAGGGCAAGCATCCGGTTTCTTTTTTTTAGGCGTGAATGTAAAAAAATAAACAAAAAAGTAGACGAACAAAAATGGCACCGACAAAGAGCGGCGTTACACCAGCAGTGGGCAGAGAATGGCATAAATGAACCACTGGCATCGGAACGTTAAACTTTTGATAATGAGAGTTTTTTTTGCAGATTAAGACCTAAGACTTTGTGTAATTGATTGCATCACTCATGAAATGTGACATTAAGAAAGACTAAACTGGTACTGTAATTATTGAAAAGCATAAAAGCATCCCATGTATCACTA